TTTGGTCGAGCCCCCCCTCCTACCAGTTCCCCCCCCATTTTAATACTGCTAGATACGACACTGATTCCGGGTATAGTATTTCCCCTTCGCTTTCCTAGAACCCCTACGCAGAGATTTTGAGCGAGGCCCCATTTACGCTCTGATATAATTGTCCCCCTCCCCCGGTCGGGGACAACGTAACCACGACGCTGGATTAGTTCACCGAATGTTTTATTAAATTATTAATAGGACCTATTTTTTGGTTAAAATGTTGATTTTTTTTTGTGAAAAAATACTTGCAAATACACCACAAACCTCCAAAGACACTGCGAACCCCATCCAAACCCTTTAATTATGATTGTAGAACTCTCCTTTTCTAAAAAAAAAAAAAATAAATAATTTGATGTTCATATAAACTCATTGTTTGTGGGGTTTACCAATACCCGGATTGAATTTCTGGAAAATTGTGATTCCGCTTCCTTGAAATTGGCCACGAATAAATTATTTTAGTATTAATAAATCCATGATTTATGTTGATTTATTGATTCTGTTGTTGCTATTCTTTAACATTTAAATGAAAAAAAAAAAAAGTGTTATTCATGGCTTCTTTTTTATCTTCGAATATTTTATCATTGAATATGTAATTCCTGCAAAAAGTGAAATGTAAATGGCAATTTATTTGATGTTAGATTCCTTGTTAAAAACTAAATTATTTCAGTTAAAAAAATGCATATAATGATTTTTAAAAAAATCAGTTTTAATACAGAATTTTATTATTGGGGCCATTTTTACCTACCTGATATTTGGGCCATTTTTACCTGGGCCATTTTTACCGGGGCCATTTTTTCCGGGGCCATTTTTTCCTGGGAAATTTTTCCGGGGCCATTCTTACCGTACACCCACTTATGTAGTGATGGAAGGCCCATAATTCGTTAAAGTGTAATCAATGTTCCTTTGAATGGAGACGATTGATAGTAAATAGATGGTATTGAGATGCCGTCACGATAATATAGCAAATCTTGCATTGTGTAAGTCTTGTAAATTCGAATAGTTAACACAACAACATCGAGTACCATGGTCTGGATGTAATAAGAGAGATAACCGTAAATAATAACAGTTAAGAGTTATTAAGCCCGTATCTTTCCAGACAACTATATGTAATACGAGAGTAATCGTAAATTAATTATCTCATCTTTCTAGAGCGCCCAATCGTCTTCTGAACAAAAGACATCTAGGCCTATTCCAGATATTGCATGCTGAGTCGGCATCATGCTCCCTGAAATACATCATGAGGTTTGAAAAAATGTTTCACAGCCCTCCGTGGCTGTAAATCATTAACGTGATGAGAAAATGTTAGTCGAATATGTGTCTACACCATGAGGATGTTTTGTTTATGGTGATTTAATGTGGGTCATTATTTTAGTGGACTAACCGTACCTATACCCCTTGAAGATTTCGGTTAGGTAGCGGTATATTAGTCAAGGAGAAGGGCGGGGAAAACGCCCTAGGAGAGTAACCTGGTCATTTCGTTGTGACGTCACCACAAGACGCATATCAGTCTCCAATCAACTACTGTATATTGGATATTTACTAAGAATTTTAACTAGCTTATTTTAGTTCATTTTGAACGCACAAAATGATTTTTTTAAAATTCCACCGATCAAAAGGTGTCGTGTTCTAATAAATATATTTATTTTAGCCTAAATCACCAAGTATCCACTAGGCTACTAATACAAATTAAAAATAGTGTATAAGTGATTATGGACCCGGTTATAAATATTTTATAACAAAGAGCCTATATTAATCTGAGAATGCTGCTTAGAAAACCATGGGAAGTAGGCCCTATTAGCGTTTCATAATAATGACACTAGCCCCCCCCCCCTGATTCTATGTCAGACAGTAGGTACAATATTTTTGTGTGTTTTAATTTTTTTTCAAAAAAAAAAAAAAAAAAAAAAAAAATGGTTGAGTATTCCAACCGGAAACCAAATTAGAATTAATTTGTATCATTCAAATTTATGAAAAAAAAAAACAAAAAAAAAAACAGAAGAAGTATCATTTGATATATAACATCGAAAATTGTTATTTCCTGTTTACCTACTTTCAATAATAAAACCAGACAGCGTAAACCCACGATTTTTTTTTTCTAAACTGTTAATTGTTAACTACGTGATTTACGTCATACCTGTGTCACCTGGTGCATTCATTTCGAATAAGGGAATAATGTAAATACCTTTTGCACCAGTCCCACTACAACTGTACTAATACTTAAAAAGGCGGAAATATGCTTGAGTGTTGAATTTTGTCATTTAGTATCTTAAATGCATAAATTTTCCAATAATTATTCTAATTTTAGTGCGAGAGTGCCATTTCCGGCCATAACTTTCCAACCTTACCCCAACCATTTGTTGGGCCAGGGTGGTTAAAACCCTTTATCTGTGAAAGTCCCTCACTGGGCCCCTCTATTTCAAGTACCAATGATCAATATAAAAACACTATATCAATTTTTAATCAATGTACCCATTCCCGTTTTGGTAGACGATTCATGAATGCCCGTTGTGATCTCTTGTGACATGACAAACATGACTGTTCTAATACATATTTGTTTTTCAGTACTGGTTGATATCAAAGTGCATGAAAATCTAAGTTATAAATAATCATCGAGGAGGATGAAGATAACTGTTGTTGGGGCAACTGGACAAACCGGTTACCATGTAGTGCGACTGGCACTGAAAGCTGGTCACCAAGTCCAGGCACTCGTACGTAATCCATCCAAGATGTCACTGCGACACGAGAGATTGACGGTAAGCACACCATCTGCATTAAAGTCTTAATTTGGTTTCATTTGATTTTGAGTGGGCTGTTTATTTGAGGGAGGCGCTTATTCCAAATGAGGCTCTACAGGGGGATTTATCCGAGAGGGCGTTTATTCAAAGCGAGGCGTTTATACTAATTTGCGGTATATAGGACTAGACCTATTATGGCTGAGAAGAATCATAATTGCTCTGCGCCATTTACGTATAATTACAAAGCGAGCGCGAAAAGAAAAATCAGCTTGTAACAGTACTACTATGCTACTAAAAAAAACCAAACAAAAACTATTGCTCCTAATATTTTATTTTAGTTAAATGAAGAAATTATGGGTTTTCTTTCAGTTCCAATTCAATTTCAATCTTTATTGAAAATTTAGGATTGAATTTATATTATTAACATAAAACATAAAAATCATTGAAGAACAACAACAATAATTAAAAAAAAAAAAACAACATAAACATTGCTAGGGTTTAGAAGCTTTATAAATTAAAAAAAAAATAATTAAAAAAACCCATTAAAACAATAGCTATCCATCTAATTAGTTCAACATCTAAAAATAAAATAAAATTACATCGATACCTTAAAAAAATGACATTAGGCCTATTATAATTATTTATTTTATTAAATTTATTATTATTTAATTTATTAGGCCTAATCTAAACGAGGGCTATTCTGTGTGTATTTGTCTCTTTCAGGTTTTAAAAGGGAACGTTCTGTCCGAAAACTTTTTAGCCACACACTTTCCTGGTCAAGACGCCGTCATCTCCTGCCTTAACACTCATCCCGGATTATGCATCAAAATAACTTTATACACCGATTCCATTAATGTTATCGTCAACGCAATGAGGCAAGCGGGTGTGAAGCGACTCGTCACGATGACGTCATGGTGTACGGGAAGTAAGTGTATTGAATGTTTACTCCAAATCTTGTATGTTTTAAACTGGGCACTCACTGCAGCGTACGACGAATCCAAATACGTTCCCTGTGAGCGCTAGACGACGCGACCCCATATGCTGATTGTCGGTGGCAGTATGAACGATTGTCATTTTAAAAACGATCCGTTGCGCGCAGGGAAGCGATTGTCCTGGTAGGAAAAACGGTAAAAAGGGAAAGAAATTGCAGAAACTAAAATCCAGAGCAGGGTTAGTCCACCAAATTAAACAGAAAGCATACGTTAAATATATATTTTGTTCACGTTATTTTTTAGCTGATGTTAAAGATCCGGGTCCATTCCTTATGGAATATATTTTAAAACCGTTCTTTCTGAAGATACTCTTGGAAAATATGACGTGCATGGAAGAATACTTGATGAAGGAATGCCATGACATCACCTACACGATTGTTAGGCCACCGAGAGTCGTCAAAGATCGCACGTCAGGTAACTTGTCTCATATGACGGTTGTTTTAGTATACCAGTGGTTCCTAACCCTGTGGTCCGCAGACCCCTTATTTGTCCGGGTCGGCGAAAACTAATTGGGGGTTGGCAAAGCCAAAGGGGTTCGCAGGTGGTCTGCAAAAAATTGCGAAAACTGTTTTGTATTTTCCAAAATATGTAGGCCTATTCTTTGAAAATAAAAAGTTTTGATAACAATTATTTATTTTACTCGTTAATGTTTTCCATCTTATCATCACAACTTGGCACCATGAACTTTACCATTTTTTTTTTTTATTATGTAACGTATTGAATTTTAGTTTAATAAACATACTATCTTATAAATTCGGGTGTCTTTATTCTTACTTTTAGGAAAGGAGTTGATTGCCCAGGAACGGT